AACACACACACACACACACACACACATATATATATATATATTTACAAACACCTATATAACATAGAAGAGTCTAGAAAACTTTACACTGTTTGAACTCAGTCTCATAAGGACTGCATAAGACCATTACTGTAAAAATAGAAAGATAAGATGTGGATAAATGTCCAAAAGGGAAAGGGGACAGAAAAGGGGGAAGGAGGGAAATCACTAGGATAGTAGAGTTAGAGGGTGGATGAGGGAGTTTAAGAATAGAAAAGATTCAGGGTAAGAATGAAAAGACAGGGCATGTTATTAATAAGGAAGGAGAGGAAGCAAGGGAAAACTGTAATTAATTACATAAAATACAATGTATATGAATGACTGTACAAAACATACATGAATGAAACAATGTAAATTACAGACTCTCTAAAATACAATAAACATGCATGAAACACAATGTGTAAAGTTACTGTATACAAACCAGTAAAAATATTAGAAGGGAGGTAAAAAAAATTTCAAACTGTAAGGTCAAAGAAGTACAATCAGAAATTTCAAAAAAAAAGAGAAATTTCCAAGATTGAAATTTATTCCATACATTAGGAGTATTACTTTGTATCAATTCAATTAAAGAGTCTGGCTGAGATGCTGTTGCTAATGTAATAATCTCATACTTAATAAAGTATTATATGTTCTTATAACCACGATATTACTAGTTATAATTGAAATATATAAAAAAAAAAAAAAAAAATAATTGAAATATATAAAAAAAGTGTGGAGATAAAGATCAGAAGGCCATTTCATGAAAAAGAAAAGTTTCTACAAAAATAAATATATATTATGAAATTTTAAAAATTACATTAGAGTTATCTTTAAAAAACAACAGAAGTTGAACCATTGACTAACCTTATGTTTCTTTTGATGGAGAATTCATTAAAAATATACAATATGAGTACCTATGTAGTAAAAAATTGACAAATGCCACTTGAAAGATTAGCCAGGAACATGAGTTACTGGAGGAGGAACAACTCAGAAGAGAATGGAAATGGCTGCACTACTCAGAATGTAATCAGTGTTGTTCAACCGTCTACAGAGAAATGGTCGCTATGAGTCGTTTACAACTCGGTGACATTTAACAACAACAACAACTTCAGTATACTCTCAACAACTGAAATAAACAAGAAATGAACTTCAAATTGAAAAAGCCTCCATAGGATCAAATTGGTAAGAGCTAACTCAAAAGATTAGATGGAAACCTTGCAAGAGAAATGAATTTAAGTTCACAGGGAACCTAACATTCAGAGAATGATTGCACAGCTCAGAGAGTGGAAATAATGTTATAGAGCTGCACATGGAGAAATGGCTGCTCTGCCAAGTATGTTCTCAGCAATAAGAAATTTTTCCAGAGGAGGAAGTATCCAGCAAAAAGTAAGGGAAGGTTCCCAGGGACTGCTCCTGAGGTGGGCCCACTGCCCCTCCCTCCTGACAGGGTGGAATTACTAGGAACATTGATAACATGACATCCTCTAAGATGGAGTGGGGCTGTAACTTTGTTGTGTTCTTGCACACTGTCTAGTCAGAACCAACTCATAACTGACCCTTCAGCTGGTTTTGAGAGGCAATATATCACATGGGAGGAGACTGGTCATCTTTTTCCCATGGAGCAGCTGGTGGATTCAAACTGCCTGCCTTTGGCTGGCAACACAATACCTTACCACTAAATAACCATGCAGAAATTGAAGTCTGAGACCTGGGTTATTTTTAAAAAGCTCAGTGATCGTTACCAGGGACTGGATTTGAAATGGACATGTTTTCATGTGAGTCCCTGACTGGTATGCTAGGCAATCTAATCTCTTCCTACCCACATTCTTATCAAGAGACACTACCTGGTTCTGAGTCCTCACCTGCTCTGGTCAAGGAACCATCTACTGGAGGCTGGCACAAGAGGTAGAAGCCACCAAGGCACAAGGCAGATATTTGAGAGACACTCACTCATACAGACTGTAATGGATTGAAGGGCCCCTCCAAAATATGAGTCACGATGGCCATAATTTTCAGTATAATTAATTATCCCATGCACTCAAATCCAATCCAAACTGATATCATGTTAATGAGGCAGAATTAAAGGCAGTTATGTTATGATGTAGTCATCTCCCATGATGTAATCCAAGATATGATCAACTAAACTGCAGGAGACTAGGTTGGAATGTAATTCCCTTAATTAGGCTATAACCCTGATCTGAAGGGGTGTTCCTCAGGTGTGGCCTTATTTCTTAAGAGATAAAACCAGGGTGGAACATGGTTTTTGTGGACCCTAGTTCCTGTGCTTCGTAACAAGAAAAGGCCAAGACATATGGAGATTTCCAAGGAATGTCAGACCTATGATGCTGAAAAATGGACAGACCATCCTCCAGAACTGAGAGATATTTCCTCTAGAGCCAGCACCCTAAATTTAGACTTCTAGCCTCTTAAATTGTGACAGAATACGCTTCTGTTTACTACTACTAACTAATATCTACACGGTGGTAACTCTGTTATACCAGCACTAGAGAACCAAGACACAGGCATAACTATACAAACTGTTCAGAGGAATTAAAGAACAGGAGAGAAACACACTCCTCCCCCCATCTCTTTTCTTTTTCCTCCTCTTAATTAAAAAGTTCAGGTGTATAGGGAAGGAATAGTTTTTGGAAAGACATGTCAAAAGATGAAGAGAAGTAGAAGTGGCAAGCAGACAACAGTACAGAAAGTCAGAGAAGGCCACTTGGGTCAGACTGGATGGGAGTCAGCTTAGACCAGAAACCAGACAGGACCCGATCTGGAATCAAAAGGAAAACAGTATTCCAAATGGAAAAAGAAAAAAGTTGTTCCTCCAGGAATCAGAGGGAGATGCTCAGGATACCAGCCAGAAAATTTCTTAAAGAGCCCAACTAGGAAGAAAACAAGTAAATGGAATGAGAAAGAGGCAGCAGGTAGCTTTGAGATGAGAAAAGGCAGAAGTCCTCAGGTTCCTAGGAGCTTAGTTTCCTGGCTCCAACTCCCACTACTCCTGGCTTCTCTCTCCTTGTACTAGTATCATTCACAGAAACAAGTATGCAGAATCTCTGGTGCATTACCAAGTGGTATGCTACTGTACAAAACTGTAAGGTTTAGAATTACACTTTCAGTATTCTGGATGGAGTGACTAATAAATGTAGAACAAAACTCAAAAATCATGAAAATGGCTAGGCTTATTGGTAAGACTCAGACTACTGGAACTATGGGGACTATAAGCCCTAATTTTCCTTCAAGTCTAGAACTGAACTCATCCCTACAGCACAACATTCAACTAAAAAGCAGATTTACATATAGAGTGAACAGTAACACCAAAGAGTTACTAAGTCTTTAGAAAAATCAACTACACAAAGGCAGAATTTACCCAGGCAGAATGCATTATAAGGAAGAGAGAGACCTAAGGATGAATGAAAACAGAAAACACAGGGAGAAAGTCAGGTAAGAGTTTATACAATGTGGAGATTTTAATCATAAAACTAAATCTATATGAATGGTTGAACAGACTATCAATCCTCTCTATAAGCTTTCACAAAAATCACTATAAAAGTTTAAAATAAAAATACACTATCAAACTCACATTCCAGTAAATATAGTTGGCAGAGTGAAAAAAATCCCCACATAAATTCAATACTTACACCACTAAAGCTGTTCTTTTAAGTGGTTGATATTCCTGCTGCTAAAAATGTCTTTAAAGTGCCAAAGAGCAAGGGCATAACTTTAAAGGATCTGGTATTTTTAATTGTTTTATATGCACAAGCAGCTCTCGCAACCAAGTAGATAAAGGGCATAACTTTAAAGGATCTGGTATTTTTAATTGTTTTATATGCACAAGCAGCTCTCACGACCAAGTAGATAAAGGATTCACGCTGCCAACACAAAGGCAGAGAGTTCAAATCCACCAGCTGTTTCTCGGAAACAAATGGGCATTCCTCCCCTGTGCAGTTTACAACCTCTGAAAACTCACTAGAAGGTCAGTTCTAACTTGACAGCAAAGAAGCGGTTGAGTTTATATGCATGTAAAGCGTGAGCAATGAATAAGAAAGAATGAAGTATTTATTTCTTTTAATTGTGGTATTGACAAAGAATATTGAATAAATTATTGACTGCCAAAAGAATAAACAAATCCGCCTTACAGAGCAGGAAACTCTAGGTCCCAACATGAGTAGATGCCAAGGGACTACATGCGAATGACCAGAGAGCTCTAATTCAGGTTCTCTCTGTTGAGATTCCGAGGTAGCAAACCTGGGATCTGTTGTGGGGTTTGGAATGCAGGACACAAAGCCTTCATGTGGACCTCACAGTATGCCAGGTTACTCTGTCCACTGCTCAGTGGACTCTGGCCAGGCACATGACCTAATACCAATAACAGCATACATGCTGATGTTACCTCGTATGCTTCCGCCAGCTGAGAGAACTTCTCCTTGGCTTTGGGATCATCCTTATTTGTGTCTGGGTGGTATTTCTTGGCAAGCTAAGGAGAAGGAAAAGTGAAAAGTGAACCCAGTCACAGAGTAATTACCACATCAGACCCCCAGGACCATCACAACCATTGCTCCTTAGAAGCAATTCCTAACAAGATTTTTGTCTTTTCATACTTTTCAGTCTTGAGGTGTATCCTCACTGTTTCAACCACAACAGATCTTTACCAAACATAACAATTAATTCTTTAGAACCTCTGGAACAGTAAATCCAAAAATGTTTCCATTATTACCATGTAAAAAATGGAGAGTATAAACAGAATGTAACTGTTATATGAAGGGGAAGAGGAAAGATGTTTTACTACAACACAGGTGGATTTTGGCAACACTATAGGTTTGATTCTAGAACACCATAATTAAGTAAATACTGCAGTAAAACAAGTCACTTGAGTTTTCTGGTTTACCTATGCAGATTAGAACTAGACAGGCCTGGCAACCTCCTTCTAAAAAAACACCTGCCTCTACAAAGCCCAAGGAGCTGTATGGCACATAAGGAGTGGCCAAGTCACAAGGAACAGCAATGCGTGGGCTTACATTTACAGCAGGCCAGTCCCCATGGGTCTTTCCGAGCATTCCATGCCAGAGCAAACTAGAGCACCAAACCATTGCCTGGCTCCTTAGTCATAGGCTGCAGGCACTGAAGTGGACTGCACGGTGAAAAAAAAGAAAGGGAAAAACCTCAATGTAAAAGCCACAGTGAATGTAGACAAATACAAAATAAAATGGGTAAAAAAAATTCTGGGGGAAAAAAGTGACAGCAACTGGCTACTTTTCTAGACCTCCACAACTTGGCTTTAATTATAGATTCCCAGGATGGCTCTGGAGTAACAAAGAACCTAATGTAAGGTATTAAAAGAAAAGGAAGGGGGAAAAATGTATGTAAGAAGGAGAATTGAATACTTTGAGCTGTGGTGTTGGAAAAGATTATTGAATATACTATGGACTGCTAAGAAAACAAACAGGTTTATCCAAGAGAGGGTTAAACCAGGCTGCTCCTTGGAGGTAAGGATTCTGAAGCTTCATCTGACATATTCTGGACATGCTGCAAGAAGTCCTTAGAGAGGGACATGATGCTTGGGAGGGTGGAGGGACAGCACAGGAGAGGAAGACCCTCGATGAGATGGATTGATTCAGTGACTGGGATAATGGGAGTAGGTGTGTCAGTGACAGTGAGATTGGCACAGGATAGAGCAAAATTTAGGGCTGTTGTACATAGGCTTGTTATGAGTTGCAGGCGACTCAACGGCACATAACAACAACATATATGTATATGTATATGTATGTGTACACACACACACACACACACACACACATAAAAGACACTTTTTAAAATATTCAGACTAGTATTACTAAGACATAACTGAGAATATAAAAGTTGTGACTGAGAAGGGCTATGAGTCCTGGGAAGACTAGGTGAAAACACAAAATAAAGCTCAAAAACAATAAAAGTGGCCAGGTTTACTGGTCCAGTAGAGACTGGTGGAACCCCTGAGACTACAGCTTTTGGCCACTGTTCATACCTGAACAAAATTTACCCTGTGGTTCAACCTTCAGTCAAACCCCAGATAGGCCTCTCACATCTGAGAACACGTAACCACTGTGATCAAAAGGGCAGCATTTACTTAGAGAGATTTCTCAGAAGGTAGGCAGGGGCACACTAGAAGTATGAATGACAAGAACCACAGGGAGGAAGCAGAAAAAGGGTTGTTATATTGTAAGCATTATAAGTAATGTCATAAAACAAAATCTGTGTGGCTGAATGAAACCAATTTGCTCTGTAAACTTTCCATCAAATCACAGTAAAAAATGTTTTTTAAAACAAGAGAGAAGGGCGCTCTGGTGGTCTTGTGGCAAGAAGCTGCACTGCAATCCCAGAGGCATGCACTTCGAATCCACCAGATGCTCTGCTGGAGAAGGAGGGGAAATCTCTTCCTGTACCAGTCAGATCCGATTTGATGGTACACACACACACACACACACACAAAAATTTATAAAATTTTTAGAAAAAGAAGAAAAATTTTAAAAAACCAACAAAAAACTGAGAGAAGCTGGGTGAAGGATATATGAGAATTCCACGCTATTTTTAAAAAAGTCTATAATAATTTGAGTAGAAATGATGATGAGAAAATGATTGTTTTTGTATACTCTGGCACCCCTACTACAGGGTTTGTGTTTCTGTCTACATTGTGTTACTCTATCAGTACCTTGGGGTCCCTGGTATTACTTGGTGGTCACAAAACCCACTGTTTATGTATGATTATGCAATGATATGAAATGTCAAGAAAAAGCAAGCCCATAAAGACAAAAAGTAGATTAACAGTTGCCAAGCGTTGGGAGGGAATAGAACAGAAAGTGACTGCTAAAAGCTTTGGGGTAGGGGAGCTCTGGTGGCCTAGTGGCAATGAGCTGCAACTACAATCCCAGAGGCGCACGGTTCGAATCCACCAGATGCTTTGCCGGGGAAGGAGGGACAATCTCCTCCAGTACCAGTCAGATCTGATTTGACGGTACACTCACACAAAAGTAATAAAAAAAAAAAAAAAAAAGCTTTGGGGTTTTGTTAAGAGGTGATGAAAACATTATAAACGTCATTGTAGTGGTGATGATCATTGCACAAGTTTTGAAGGGAGCAGAAGAGGAAGACCATGGATGAGACGACTGACACAGTAACTGGGGTAATGAGGGTATGTGTGTTTGAGACAGTGAATCTGACTCAGGTATTGCTGGTGACCCAATGGCACATAACAATAACTGGTGGCCTCATCATAAGAAGACACACTGTCAACACTCAAAGGAATGAGGTTTAAATCCACCAGCTGTTCTGAGGGAGAAAGATGGGCAATATCTTCCCAAGCAATTTACATACTGTTGTTAGGTGCTGTGGAGTTGAGTACAACGCATAGCAACCCTATGAACAACATGTCCTATCCTGTGCCATCCTCACACTTCCTGACACACTAGAGCCTATTGCACACTGTGTCAACCTACTTGGTTGATGTTCTCCCCTTCACCGACCCTCTGCCTTTCTGAGCATCATGTCCTTCTCCAAGGATCAGCCCCTTCTAGCAACATGTCCAAAGTAGGCAAGGTGAAGATTTGTCATCTTTGCCTACAAAGAGCATTCTAGCTGCACTCTGTCCAAGACCTATTTATTTGTTCTTCTGGCAGTCCATGGGATGTTTAGTACTTTTCTCCAACACCGCAGGTCAAGGGTATCAATTCTTCTTCTGTCATCCTTATTCATTGCCCAGGTCTCAGATGCTTAGCAAGATATCAGAAAGACCATGGCCTAAATCAGACACACCTCAGTCCTCAAAATGACATCATTACTCCTCAGTAATTTGGAGAGGTCACTAACTACAGCCTTTCCCAGGGCAGTATGTCTCCTAATTTCCTGACTGCTGGTACCAAGGGTGTTGACTGTGGAACCAAATAAGATGAGGTCATTGACAGTTTCAATCTTTTCTCCATCTATGATGATGTCGCTTATTGATCCAGTGGTAAGAATCTTTGTTTTCTTGATGTTGAGATGCAATCCAGATTGAAGGCTGTATTCTTTTACCTTCTGCAACAAGTACTTCAAGTTCTCCTCATTTTTAGCAAACAAAGTTGCTGTTGTTATGTACCATCAAGTCCACTGTGGATCACAGCAATTCTCTGAACAACAGATTTAAAATTGAAAATCTGCCCTAACCTATACCACCGTCACCATCTCCAAAACATTTTCCACTGCTACAGTTGTCATGTTAATTCATCTCATTGAGGATCTTCCTCTTTTATACTATATCTCCACCTTTCCCAGGTTAATGTCCTTCTCCAAGGACTGGCCTTTCTTTTTTTTTTTTTCTTCATCCTTAGAAAGCAGGTTTTATTTGTTTAAGACCAGACCAAAAACACTAAGTGCACGTGAGATTCTAAACACTAAGCCAGTGAGACTCACAAGGGTTTGTCTGAGAGACCTGCAGTCTTCTGTCAACAGGAAACCACCAAAGCGGGTCTGTTGCTTGTGGCAGCAGGAGGATCTGTGCTTGTCTATGGAGCTGTCCTGTGTTTAGATGTTTGTGAGAATGTGTGAGAGGAAGGATGAAGGTGGGAGAAACCTTTCCAATCCTCTTCTTCATTTTCTCCATTCTAATGCTCTCTGGTTCTGCCTTAGGCGAGGGCCAAATGATCACGGGTCATTTTACAAAGAACTTGGACCATCAAAGAACCCAGTCAGGTGGAGAAGAGATAAGATATTGGTGCTAACGTCGTAGCGGGGCATTGGTGGGGAGAAACGGCTGGGTGTCCTAGAAAGAGGCTGCACATGAAGGCAGGCACTGGACTTAGCAGAGTGTGCGTGGAGGAGTGGAGGCTGCGTTAGTAAAGGCTTGTCTTCTTCATGATCCGCAGGAACTCTTGCTCACTGACTTCTCTGTCTCCATCTCGATCTGCCTCATCAATCATTTCCTGAAGTTCTTCATCAGTGAGATTCTCACCCAACTCCTTCGCCACACGTTTCAGATTTTTGAAAGATATCCTTCCAGTCTCATCATCATCAAAGAGTTTGAAGGCTTTCAGGATTTCTTCTTTGGTATCTTTTTCAGACATTTTCTGAGTCATCACAGTCAAGAAATCACTGAAGCTCATTTTTCCTGTTCCTTCCTTATCAATCTCACTGATCATTTTCTTGATTTCTTCTTTCTTGGGCTCAAAGCCCAGGGCCCTCATTGCCACCTTAAGTTCTTTGACGTCGATGGTGCCATTTCCATCAGCATCAAAGAGATCAAAAGCTTCTCGGATTCCTGCTTCTGCTCTTCTGTGAGTTCAGGCTTGGAACTCACCCTCTTTCGCTGGGAAGTTGACACCATGCTTGTCTTCTTAAAGCTGGAGGCCATCGCAGGTGGACTGCTGCGCTGTTGTTATGGCAACAGACCCAGAAATTCATTCTCTCTGTTCCCGTCGGGCGCAGGCCCATGGCCGGCTGTCCATTGGTGACCTGCCCGCCACTCTCCATTGGTGTTCAGTTCGGACTGGCCCTTCTTAACATCATGCTCAAAGTATACGAGACAAAGTTGACCATCTTTGCTCAGAAGAAGCACTATGGCTGCACTTTCTCCAAAACAGATCTCTGTTCTCTTGGCAGACCACAGGATATTCAGTACTCTTCTCCATCACAACTCAAAGGTATTGATTCTTCTGTTGTCCCAGTCACTATTCAACTTTCAGATGCAACTGAGAAGACCATGGCTTCGAACAGGTGCATTAGTCTCCAAGCTGACATCATTGCTCTTTAGTACTCTAGAGTAGTCCCTGACAGCAGATTTTCTCAATGTGATACATCTTTTGACTGCTTGACTGCAGGGTGCTCATTGGGGATTCAAGCAAGATGAAATCACTGACAGTTTCAATCTCTTCTCCTCTTCCATGAAGTTGCCTGCTGGCCTGGTGGTGAGGGTTTTTGTTTTCTTTATGTTGCGTTATAAACCTTATGGAAGGCTGTATTCTTTATCCTTTTGCGTAAGAGCTTTAAGTCCTCCCCACTTTCAGCAAGTAAAGTTGTATCATCTACATAATGTAAGTTATTTATGAGTCTTCCTCTGATCCTGATGCCACAGTCTTCTTCATATATCCCGCTTCTTGATTTACAGTTTCTAAAACCCTGATGGAGGGTCAGCTAGGAGTCAGTTATGACTCATCAGCACATAACAACAACAAACACCTTAAAAAAAACAGGTAAAAAGAAAAACAGAGGCAGTCACCTGTCTTTGTTGTCTCATGCTACTGTAACAAGAAATATCACAAGTGGGTGGCTTTTAATAATGTATTTTCTCAGTGTAGGCTAGAAGTCTGAACTAAGAGGGTGGCTTTCCGTCCATACTGGCTCTGGGCAATGAGTAATCCTTGTCATTAATGAAGGCCCCTCATGTGATACGGCACCAATTTTTCCCCACCTCTGCTCCTACAGTGTCAAGAGATTGACTCAAGGTACACAAGAGATTGACTCAAGGTACACACTACACTAAAACTATCTCCTAACAAAGAAAACTCATTTCCAAATGCAGCAATCACTTTACACTTTATACCTAAACCTTCTGCAGTCATTCTATAGCAGGAGCTGCGCAGTGTACACAGCTGGACAGACCAAAAGCAGACCAGCCTGGCAGTGTTCATCTACCACTGTGTTATGACAGCTGGCTTGCACACACCTGGTAATAAGCTTTCTTGATCTCCTTCTGGCTGGCATTTCGGGGCACTCCCAGTATCTGGTAATAATCCTCTTTGGCCAAAGGGCTGCTCTTGTGGAAGGAGGCAGAAGAAACAAAGGGGTAACATTTAACTCCTAAAGAGGGAAGAAACAAAAAGAAAAAAAAAAATCACTGAGAATGTTGCAAGCAAAAGGACATGGTGAGTCAACTGCCAACTAGAAGACCTAGAAAGTTTTGGACAGCATGGCTTCGAGGTGTTCTCCTGAAGAATCCTAACAGGTGGCTCGGCCTGAGAGTCAATTCTGACTCTGCAACCCTGCAGGACAGAGTAAGACCACCTCACAGGGTTTCCCAGGCTCTAAGTCTTTACACAACCATCTCATGTTTCTCCCACACTATAGCTGGCAGATTCCAACTGCTGACATTTTAGTCAGCGGCCAGGTGCTTAACTGCTGCACTACCAGCTTCCTTAGGCAATACTCTCAACTCCAGGACCAAGATGATAGCCCCAGACCACTGCCATCAAGTGGATTCTGAATCATAGTGACCCCACAGAGCAGAGTAAGACATCCCATAGGATTTCCAAGACTGGGAGCTCTGCTGGTCAAGTCATAAGGAGTTGCATTACCAACCCAAAGGCATCAGGTTCAAACCTACCAGTTGCTCTTAAGGAGAAAGACGCGCAATATCCTCCCCTGTCATTTACTGCCTCCAAAAACCTGCTGGTGGGCCAGCTACAGGTCCATTTTGACTCAACAGCACAACAACATCTTAGTTGGCTGATGGACACTTTACTCACTGTGCCAGTGCTCTTATGAATACACAGCACTTCAAAAACAGCTAAGGCCCTAAAGTAAAGCATCATCCAAGAATGGCTGTGGTCCATTCCTGGGTTATCCCAGAGGTGTGAGTACACACCAGACTGGAGCTACGCATGAGGGGAGCTCTCAGGACCCAGCCTTCCCGACACTGACTGAGCCCCCACCACCTAGAAGTGTCCTCAGATGCTTTGTTGTGAGGTGTGTTCGAGTCAGGCTACATACAAGAGAACAAAACCCTGCCCAATCCTGCGCCATCTTTATATAACCCCATTTCTGTAGCTCCAGGATCAATTCATCTCAGTGAGGGTTCTCCACCTTTCTGCTGGTCCTCTACTTTTCCAAGTATGATGTCCTTTGTCAGGGATTGTCCTCTATCCTTCTAAAAACATGTCCAAAGTTTATGAGACAAAGTCTCACCATTCCTTTTTCAAATGAACACTCAGGCAGCAGTACTATCAAGACATTTTTTTTTCTCTCAAGATATATTTGTTAGTTCTCTTTGCAGTTTGTGTTATAGTTCATATTCTTTGCCAACACAATTCTAAAGCGTCAATTCTTCTATCTTCCTTTTTCATTTTCCAACTTTCACTTGTATATGAAGCAAAATACCAAGGCTTGGGGCAGGAGGGCCTTAGTCTTTATTCCTTTTTAATACTTTAAGAAGTCCTTGACAGGTCCTTAACTGCTGCTTCCATAAGTTTTAACTGTGAACAGAGGTAGAACAAAGTCCTTGATAATATCAATCTTCCCTCTGTGTGGTCCCTGGACCAGCAGCACCACTATTAGCTTCTTCGGAACATACATTTCCAAGCTCCATCTAAGCCCCAGGTCACAAACTCTGGAAGTAGGGGGGGGTCCAGCAAGCTGTGCTTTAAGAAGCCCTCCAGGGGACAGTGGGGACGAAATCTATAACTGATACAAGAACAAGCATTTATCTGTTCTAGAACCATGAAGAGAAGGCTCAGACATGAGAGTGGCCAAGACTAGACCTATAGAAACTTGGCAAACTATTCTGATCATCCTAGGAACCTGAAACAAAACTCACCCTCATGGCTCAACTAAAAGTGCCGCCAGGGAGGCACTCTCCCACGCATATAATCAAGCACATAAGAACAAAACAGCAGCACCTGTCCCAGAGTAAAGCTCAGACGCCAAGAAAGGGTAGGTTGAAAGGATTAACAAATATGAGTCAAAAGGAAGAAACGGACCAAGTATAGTTAGTTACCTTGTGAGTATTTATAAAGTCATAAAAGAAAACATACTGAATGGCTGAATGGAAATCCAATCTTTGTAAACTTCCATTCAAATCACAATTGCTGTTTCACCATATGTGCCTCTAAGGAGTACCCTGGTTGTACTCTCTCCAAGACAGAGTTGTTGGTTTTTTGGGAGCCCATGGGATAGTCAATATTCTTCTTCAACACAATTCAATTGTCCAACCTTTCAGGCTGTTCAGAAAGCAACTGAAAATATCAAGGCTTAGTTCAGGCACATCTTAAGTCTTAACACTTACATCCTTGCTCTTTAGAACTTGAGATAGGTCCCTGATGGAAGATTTTCTCAATGTAACACATTTTCCCCCCTAATAAAAAAAGTTGTATTTACTTAGAAGCATTCAGAAAGAATGTCAACAAAACAGCTGCAACTTTTTTTGGTTTTTCTTTCTTCTTTTGCAATTACAGAGTGGTATTCAGTTAGCAAAACAACAATTATTTTGTATAAGCTGCATCAGACAACTAAAAATGAAAAAAAACCCCTACCATCCACATATATAACTAATTAGTGCTGTGCATCAACAAGAATCTGCTTTAAATTTCCATGCCAATTTACAACCCCCATACTGTACCAGGCAAGGTTAGTGGCTATTGAAATTACCAGGACAAGGCTATCAAAAGACACATTCAGTAGTGTGTTAACTATACAAAAAAAGACACCGTACAGTTTAAAAACAAATCTTACACAGCCTTACATGTAATTTTTTTTTCTTTAAAAGGAGTGAGTTGTGTACAGGGGGTTAAATGCTTTATAGGCAAGGAAAAAAAACTGCGCTACAACCAACTTATTCATCATCCTTCTCATCTTCTTCATCTTCCTAGTCCTCCTCTTCCTTCTTCTTTTTGCTTTTCTCGGCCTTGACAACTCCCTTTTTGGCAGCATTAGGCTTGCCTTTAGCCCTGTATGCAGCAATATCCTTCTCATATTTTTCCCTCAGCTTAGCAGCCTTCTTCTCATAGGGCTGCTTGTCATCGGCAGCAGTATTATTCCACATCTCTCCCAGCTTCTTCGCAACATCACCAATAGAAAGGCCAGGGTGCTCACCTTTGATTTAGGGGCGATACTCAGAACAAAATAAGAAAAAAGCTGAAGGGGACCTCTTGGGTGTGTTGGGATCTTTGAACTTCTTTTTTGCTTCGCCCTTAGAAGGGATATAGGTTTTCATCTTTCTCTCATAACAGGCCTTGTCCGCCTTTGCCATGTCTTCAAATTTACCTTTCTCTTTAGCAGACATGGTCTTCCACCTCTCTGAACACTTCTTAGAAATTTCTGAGAAGCTGACAGAAGCATCTGAGTGCTTCTTCTTGTGCTCCTCTCGGCAGGTTTACACGAAAAATGCAAAGGATGACATTTTGCCTCTCGGCTTCTTAGGATCTCCTTTGCCCATGGTTAGTTATTTCTCGTCCATGAAGCATAGAGGTTGCCCAGTGCTGTTCGGCTCTGCCTGGCTCGGGGCTGTCTCTATGGAGCTCAATGTACTTCAATGGCTATGGAACACATTTTTTTTTTATTTCTTAACTGCTGTTACCATGGGTATAACTGTGAATCCTAGTAAAATGAAATCACAAGTTCAGTCTTTTCTCCATCTATCATGATGTTGTCTACTGGCTTGGTAGTGAAGATTTTTTTACTGGTCTACAGATAAGGATGTTGAAGTATAATCCATAGTAAAGGCTGTAGTTTTTGATCTTCAAGTAGGTGCTCCAAGTCTTCACTTCCCCCCCCATTCATTCTCTGCTGCACATTTCCTCCTTCCCCCTCCCCCAGACCACTTTGCAAAGCACCTCTTGTTTCAGATTGTTGTTATATGTCTTCACTTTTTGCAAATAAGGTTGGGTCATCTACATACATATGGTAGGTAGGTTTTTGATGAGTCTTCCTCCACACACATATAGTAGGTAGGTTTTTGATGAGTCTTCTTCCACTCCTGAGGCCATGTCTTCTTCTTAGAGTTGAGCTTTTCAAATTATTTGTTCAACATACAGATTAAATAGGTATAGAAAAAGACTACAATACACATACACACTTTTCCTGATTTTAAACCACGCACGTTCTCTTGTTCTGTTCAGACAAGTGTTTCTTTGTCTAAGTAAAGGTTGTGCATGAGCACCACAAACTGTTCTAGGATTTCCATTCTTCTCGATGTTAGCCAGAATTTATGATTCACACAGTCAAATGTGTTTGCATAGTCAACATTTTTCTGGTATTCTATTCTTTCACCAAGATCCATCTGATATTAGCAATGATATATCCCTTATGCCACAGCCTCGTTCAAATCCAGCTTGAATTTCTGACAATTCCTAGCCACTGTACTGTTCCAACTGGTTTTAATAAATCATCAACAAGATTTTATTTGCATGAGATTCTAATGATACAGAACTACAATGGAATGAGACTGACTAAATCTATGTAAAGAGTAAGTGGAAAAGCTCATAATCAGTAGTTTAAAAAAGGCCAGGCACTGGCTGTGGAACAGATCATCAATGATTCACATATAAGCTCAAATTGAAGCTGCAGAAAACTAAAACAAGTCTGTGAAAACCAAAATATGACTGTAGGTCCAACCCAACTGAATTAAAAACCATCCTAAGAATAGATGTGATACAGTGAATATTAATGACTGAACATCAGATGAGTTGTGGGATGACATCAAGGCCACTAAGAACAAAAAGACCATATTGCTTTTCCCCCTGCTTAAAGCATCTGATGCATAACTATCTCTAGCTTAAAATTTCATAGTAAGATAGACACACTTGGCCTCAAACATTTAAAAAAAAGAAAAGACCAAATCATAATAAAAAGAAAATATGCTATTTCAACATGAGTATTTGTATGTGATGAAGACACATTAGTGTAGAGAAGAGACCATCAGGGCAATATTACATAAAAGTCTTAATCATAACCAAACATCCTGGTCATAGGACCTCAGGATCACATTCTCAGGGGACATGAAAGTCAGCTGACCCAAAACAGTTCACAAGGAGACTTCTACATCCTATATAGATGAATACTAACTGGGGACTTAAAAGTCTGTGAACACTTATATTGCTTAAAAATAAATAAATAAAGTCTGTGAACAAGCTGGATGGGAGGGGGGAGGGGAAGGCAGGGAGAAAAGTGCAACAATGAATGAATGGAAACCCAAAATCTCTGTAGATTTTCATTAAAATTAATAATAAAAAAATTAAAAGTCTGTGAACAGTCATCTAATGTCCCCAGTGATGTAAAGAACAATAAAATACGCATGGAAACAATTAGTCCGTTACACCAAAGGGCCTAGTGATCCTCAACTTCCAGGACCCTGGGAACAGAGAAACTAGATAGTGCCCATCTACCACTTTGAAAGGGATCACAATAAAATACTCTGTCTAAAGATACGTAAGTGGCAAACAAAATTCAAAGACACAGCAATGGGCAGGCTTCCTCGCATGAGGGAGATGGGCAGAACTCCAAGACAAAGGACTTTTGCATCTGGAACCAAGCTCACCTCTGTGGCATAACATGTAGCCAAACAACAGACAGAACTAGAAGTGAACCATAACATCACAGTGAGAATAGTACTGAGAACAGTCAAAGGCATCATTTACCCAAGGACAAATTGCAGAAAGGAGGAGAAAGAAGTGATGAATTACATGTTAAGAAAACATATATGGAGCTTTGGTGACACAGTTGATAGATAGTTGGGTTGCGAACGCAAGGTCACGCCTATCTGGAAGTTCAAATCCACCAGTGGCCCTGAGGGAAGAAACAGACAACCTCATCTCACCCAATTTACAGCCTTAAAAACCTGCTGGAAGGTCAGTTGTAAGTTACATACATACAGAGAGGGAGGAGAGGAGAGAGAAAGAGTGGGGATTGTAATCGTCATAATGCTATTTTTGTACAACCATTTGAACAGAGTTATCAACATGCTCTGTAAACTTTAATTCAAGTAATAATAAAAAGAAGTCATATATGCATACCAAAAAATACCCCAATACAGATAAACACACTGAACACAACATTATGATGCTGGAAGAATCCAGTTTCAAAGGCCTTGTATCCCTAGACAGATAACATCAAAGACACAAGGTGCCAGGCAGATTGCCAAACACACTGCCTTCTTCAGCAGCTCCAGGGAAAGGTTGACAGGGGAGCTTGGCTGACCTTTTTGCTCCTATGACAAGAGGAAGCTCAGGCCTTGCTTCCTAACTTCCACCCAGGACAGGCCAGTGGAGACTGGGGAAGGCAGAGTGGGGTGGGTAGAAGGGGCAGCGGTATGGAGCAGTAAGGATTGGAAGCACCAGGTTTCTAAGTCAAGCATTCACCTGCACGCCAGAAGCTTCCATCATCACCATTTATCGGACTCAGAGAACATTCAGGTCTGACGTGCTGTCCTGCACACCAGAGTGGCAGCAATCTGTAAAAGCAGTGCCCTCCTAAAGATGACTCCTACTCTACAAAGCAATTACATTAACAATGCTAGCACAATGGATTAAGCGTTGGGCTCCTAACTGAAAGGCTGATAGTTCGAGGCCAGGAGCACTCCAGGATAAAAGATGAAGCTGTGTATTTTGGTAGATTTACAGCCTCGGAAACCCTAGCAACTCTACCCTGTTCTATAAGGTTACTATAAGTCACAATCAACTTGACAGCAGTGTTGTTTGGTTTTTTTTTCTTTTCTTTTTTTTTTTCAATTTAAGAGCAGGTAAGGAATGAGACCAGGATCTATTCTAGGCACTAAAAATGATAGATGACCTTTTAAAAAAACTGACACTGTCCAGAGAAGAGCTAAGTCTGGCAGTACTGTGAGGTACTGTGACAATGACAAGGATAAACACAGGTTAATATGGAAAAGGGGCAAATCACCTAGGATTTGTCCATGTCAACACTGTGTAGCTGAGGCTGGAGAATCCCCTGCTGTGGGCAGCTCTAGTTTTTATCTAATAGCATCCTCTTTACCCACTAGTTGACAATCACACACACTTTTTTTGCTGTTGTTATTCAGTCTTTCTTATTTATTGTCTAACTTTCAGATACATAAGAAGCAATTTAAAATATTATGGCTTGCATAGGATGAATGTTAGCTTTTAGAAAGGTATCTTGGCTCTTTAGCACTTTGGAGAGATTTTTTTTTTATTTTAATGAAAGTTTACAAAGACTTTGGATTTCCATTCATTCACTGTTGCACTTCTGTCCCTGCTCAACCTCCCCTCCCCAAGTTTGCTTTTCTTTGAAAAATAAAAGAAAAATTCTTTCATCACATACACTTTCAAAACACTGTCAAAATCATCTTCAACAAGAATCACTGACGACTCAACTAAGCGGCTCAGTAAAGATTCTTTATCCCTTTACTTATCATTAATGCATAGCAACCAGCGAGGCTAAAAACAGATTTGAATATTTCTGTTTGGCTATTGACATATATGTGCATGTCCTATCACTTCTAGAAATACTTGGTGTGGGTGCTAAATTATATGACCACCTGAGGTTCAAATAAAAGTAGTAATGACACATTTGTTGTTGTTAGGGGCTATTAATTCAGCCCATCGTTCTAGCCACTGTGTCAATCCTTTTTATTGAGTGGTCTTTTTTTCTGACCCTGCTCTTTTGTAAGCATGTCCTTTTCCAAGGACTGGTCTCTCCTGATAAGATGCCCAAAAGTACATGAGATGAAGTCTCACCGTCTTTTCTTCTAAGCAGTATGCTGGCTGCACTTCTTTCAAAAAGTATAATTGCTAAAATACTACGTGACTACTGACTGATTCTGTGTATGTATATGCTAGACATCAGAAGTAGAGGGTTTGCTAAACACGATGAGGTTTCTTCATTAATTACACTAAAATAGAACTCACATAACATACATCATGGCTACAGAGTTAAAGGCTCCATATATATTCAGCATCTCCTGCATCAGTGAAGGTTCTAAAGCTTTTCAGCGTCAGTGACTTTTACAACTTGCGGAACACCTCCCTTTCATTATCTATCAAATGGAACAACAGCTAGACCACAAGGATGGATGGAGACAGCCTGAGGCACAAGAAGTGCTCAAGAATTAAGACTGTATTAACAGGAGCTCTGGTGGCTTGCCTAAGAAGTTGCATCTGAAAAGGAATGAGGTTCAAATCGACCAGCTGCTCCACAGGAGAGGGATGGACAATCTCCTACCATGCAGTTTATGGACTCGGAAAGCCTACTGGAGGTTGTGGCTATGGGTTAGTTCCAGCTCGATGGCACAAAACAAGGTGATAATCTTTTTTTTTTTTTTTTTTTTTGAGATGGTATTTTAGTACAATAAACAACGTCAAAACTTGGTGGGGGCGATCTAGTAACAAGGCAAGGACCTGCAGAATTGTAAAACCTGTCCTCTTCGGCTGAGGGCTGGGAAGTGGAGGAGTAGGAACAGGTAAGGGCAAAGGTGCAGAGACTGGCTTGGAAGAGGACGACAGGTCAGTGGACAGAGGTGAAAGGTCGCGACCGCCAGCCGCGCGCCGCTCTCCGTCCCTTCTCCGCTACGGAGAGGCCACAAGGAGCTTGCCGGTGACCGCCCAAGTCTGGACACCTTTCGACTCTGCTGCCCTCACCGCCTAAAAGGGCCGAGTTTCTCAGACGCTCTCTCCAGAGCTGGAACTCTGTCTCACCTGGAAATCTAACACCACTTCTCAATGTCAGCAGCACCCGCGGGACCCGAGCTCCAAGGAGAGGTGTGAAGGCGGCGACGCTCAGGCTGCGGCGCAGGGACGCTGCCATTACACCCTCCCTGGGCGGCCGGGCCCCTCTCCCCGTAGCAGCCAGCGGCCGGAAGGGCCCCACAACCACCAGCAGCCAACATGAGGCCCGGGGAGCCGCCATCTTGGCCAGGGGACACCGCGCCTGCGCTCCCCGCAGGCCTAACGGGGCTAAACTCGCCTGCAGGAAGCTGCTTCCGGGGAGGAGCCGCTGCGCGCGCACATAGGAACCAAGCTTTGCGCACGCGCAGTCCTAGTTAGTGGCTCTTCCTTATCTTTGCCCTATTGTGTTTTTCTCGCTGAAGAATGCTTTCCTTGAAGGCTTGTTCTCCTGAAAAGAGACTGGTCGTTCTGTGCTAACAAGAGTGCATCTTGTCTGACATGGAATTGATCGAAAGCGGTCGAGCCGGGGTGAGACCACAAGCCCCGGCATGCAGTGAAGCGTCACGTACAGATCCCGTCGTGCATTGCGCGGCTTCCTTCAGCCTGACCCTGCATGTTCTTGCAGTCATTTGGACTTGGTGCGCACGTTACTGTTTTCTGTTCCTAACTCCCAAATCCGGCTCCCAAACGCGATTTCTGACTCGTTACATAATGTGCGAGGCTGATCACTCAGCTCTCTGCATATTATTTTTCTCTTACTGGTCAAGGAATGAGCTGACATACAAAACAAACCCACCAAAAAACTTAGAACTAGTCAAACCACCCCCCTAATAATATAGTGAACAGTGTGAGCACCTTTTATGTCTTATACGCATTCTAAAACAGGGAAGATAAATCAAGCAGTGGCAATGTATCTAGACAGGCTTCATGTTATTTGATGCCGTTGAATCTATTAAAAAACTGCTGAGACCAATGACTCTCTTCCAAGTTGGTAAGTGAAAGACCCTTTAGATCCACTTCCCAACCAGTGAGCCCTGTGTACAACGAAACAAAATACTATTTGGTCCTGTACCATTCTGGCAATTGTTGCTGCTTGAGCAACATATATTTGCAGTCATTTTATCAATGTTTCTCATTGAGAATTTTTTTTTAACTGACCTTCCAATTAACCAAATATTATCCCCTTCTTCAGGGTCTAACACCTCCTGAAATATGTCCATACTATGTGAATGAAGTCTAGTCATCCTGGCTTTTGGGGAGCATTTGGTTTGCACTTCCAAGACAGATTTGTTTTGTTCTTCTGGCTCAATTCCTGTTCAGTACCATCAAGTGATAGCAACTTAGCAACCTTCCACTCTGGTTCTAAAGTTTACATACCAAGGGAAGAACCTGCCCTTTTTTTTTTTATTTTATTTTAAAGACGTACAAAATATTTTATTGCGTAGTATACTGTTTAGGACATAGAGATGGAAACTGCGACCATGTAGCATTGGAAGAAGTCTTACAAATAGTGCATTTTAAGAAATTTGTCACATTTTTTTCTTTTTACAGTTTGTCTCTTTAAAAAAATTTTTACAGCTAAGGGTCAACTAACCACAGTGAAGCATTTCAGGAATGTTAGAGATTAGAGAACAAGATGAATGATACAAAGAGGGAGGGAAGCCATAATTCTTGCCAGCTATATAATGTATTGCCTTCAAAAGCAACTGTCCATGTAGTAATCAGTTTGTAGTTAAATATTTCTACTAATCTGTTTTGGGAGAGCAAATGTCTTTCAGGGTTTCAAGTTCCTCTATACGCTTCTTGTTTTGAACTTCCAACACTGCAACAAGACTCTCCAGACATTTTACATATTCTTTCTTTCGACATTAACATTCTTTTTTTTTTTTTTTTT